GGTTCCGAGCCCCACCCGACTCATGACCATATTTTACCTACTGATGGCTCTGGGAGTCTTCGGACCTCTGTCTGTTGCTCCCGTACTCACAAGGGTAGTTTCGTGCGATCTAGTGTGATCCCTGATCACCGTGAGTGATAAAAACGACACAGTTAGAAACGGCCTTTTAATTTTCTAATGCGTCTGTTATTTGACATATTCAGCGGAACAAAGTATTTCTCGTCACCTTTGGGAATCTCAAACTATGCTATTTATGGTAGTTAAACCATCTGAAACATGAATTTATTCTATATAATATTTATTAATTCAGTTCCTACCTCAAAGGAAACATATTTCGTCTCCGTTACAAAAACCAATTGGTTTACACAGTTTAGCGAAATAATAGGTGTTTCTTTTTAAAAAATTCTTAGTTTATCGATGTTAAATCACATGGTATATATTGGACTGTACTTTAAAGAGTTAATCAAAGTCCAAGTCACATTGCGACTGACGGTCAGTCAGTCAGTCAGTCAGTAAGTCTTGGTGTCGAGCCCCATCTGGAGTTCATGACCAGATATTTATTACTGTTTGGCATTTACAGTCTTGTTTTTGTGGGGCGCCCTCTCTGACGAGAGGACGGGTCTGCCTTTAGTATATGCTGCTGGCCCTTGCCAATGCAGTCTTTCTAGGGTCTGAGTCCCTTGGGACTCGCGACCATATTTTACTGTCTCAGATTTGAGACTTCCCTCTTCGTCGCCTCCTACGCTCTTTAAAGTACAGTCACAATATATACCATGTGATTTAACATCGATAAACTCAGAATTTTCGTATTCATTCTTGATATTTTAAAGATAATGGTGCGAAACGATTTAACAATATTTCCTTATCCGCTTTATTAGACCATTTTAACCATTAATCATAAAGTATATTTTTGCATCGACGAAAGAGAGGAAGTATGAAGGATAAACTGTATGCCTGTACGCATTATAGCTCTCTGTGATGCCGCATTTAAGGAACTAAAGCAATTCTGAACATTTACTGCGCACTTGGCAAAAATCTTCCCACTTTAATAAGAACAGAAATTTTCCATAGGAAGCAGCTAGGTCAAAGTCACATAGATAAAAACCGCCTGCAAATGACAATCTTCATTATTCATACTGGTGATATGAAAAATAATTGCGTCTAACGATAAGAGAAGCAAGAATAATTTTCTTTTTCCAAAAATTTTCTTCAATCCTTCTGCCATGAAAATCCTCATCAGTATACAATCCGTGAAATTAATATTCAATGCTTTCACTGTCACTATAGTTTCAACATACACGCACTTCCGTTCCTTTCCGGGAGGCCATTACTTCATTTACAATTCAGCATAGATCACTCAATTTCGATGATTTACAATTATAAGCAAACACTGTACTTATGTATGTGTGTATGTGACGTATTTATTTATTTATGATTTATTTAACGACGCTGTTAGTAGTTCAAAGACCGCCTTTGTGGTCTAGTGGTCAGAGTTCCTGGCTACAGATCCAGAGGTCGCGGGTTCGATTCCCGGCGCTACCAAATTTTCTGAGAAGTAGTGGGTCTGGAATGGGGTCCACTCAGCCTCGTGAGGATAACCGAGGAGCTATTTCAAGGAAATAGCGGCTCCAGTCCAGAAAACCGAGATTAACGGCCGTTGGGATCCGTTGGGCTGACCACGTGACACTCTCTATCCGTAAAAGTTGGCACTAACTTCGCTGACAAGCGGCGGTCGCTCGGTCGGTATAGTTCGTTTGCGGACTAAAGGCCACAGAGTTAGAAAGTATGTGGAAGGAAACTGTCCCGCTTAGTTTGAGGTACTATCCCATCATCTGGCTGAAGGGAATAAGAACAACTACGAGGAATCTCTGTAATGATAGCCGATGTCCCAATGGAGATGTGAACAGGGCGTCTTACCAAGATAAGCCAGACGCTTTACCATTTGAGCCAACTTGACTGGCTATGGAGGCCCATTTACGTATGTAAACATGTGCGTATTATCAGTCACTACAGCATACGATGACAGGAACTACTCACATCTGAATCTTCAAATGCCTTTCCTTCATGCGCATATATAATTAAATATGCGTTTATATTATCTCCAAAGGCTCAAGTTAGTGAACAATAAAAGTGTGAGGCATAGGTCGTAATCCGAAAACGCAACAACACATACACTTAATTATCTGCATGTTGTAAGGCCCACCAGTAATAAAGCCGAATATATTACCTCTGTTAATTATTATTATTTATTGATATTTTAACTAATAACATGAAATACCATCCATTCCAAATACTGGACAATACCAACTATTATTAAATTGTTATAATATGTATTATATATATTAAGTGTTTGTAGTTAGTTTCTAAAGTTGGCACTAACTTCGCCGACAAGCACAGATCACAGTGGCCGCTCGAACACTGGGATCGTAGTTTCGAATCCCACTCGAGGCACGGATGTCTGAGTGCGTTTATTGTCTTTGTGTTGTTCTGTGTGTAGGCAGCGGCCTTGAAACGAGCTGATCACCCGTCTAAGGAGTCCTACCGACTGTGTATAGGGTTAAGAAATTGAAAAAGCGGCCAAGGTGCAAAGGGCTGTAGAGCCAAAGGGACAGAAAGATAGTTTCAGGATGCTGGCAGTAACTTAGAATGTCCAGTGGCTGGATGACAGTGAACAGTACATTTAAAAACATACGGGAGTACGCGGTCGTGGTCTTATGTACGGTACCATACTAACATATGCTTGCAGAGACACTGGAAAACCACAACACGTCAGGACAGTCGGTACCTTGGCCGAAATTCGAACCAAGCGTTACTGCTTGAGTCAACTTGTTCGGTTTTATTAAAGGTCTAACTTTTTGTCTCAAATGTGTTTCATTGTTAGAATGCATAAAATTGTCACATGTGGTAAAAGATCGGAATATATTATGAAAACTGATCCAATCTGAAACTGTATTTAAATTTATTTAGTCTCAAAATACATTCTCAATAACTTATGGTCATGCTAGAATTTAAATACTGGGACACTTAATTTATTGAAGAATAAGAACTTTGAGCAGAATTATTGTTTATTTTATTTACAGGTCTTTACGACTCAAATCGGCTATCTGAATATGAAATTTCATAGATATGCGTTAAGTGTGTTATTACTGGAACTTCCAGCACGCCTTTAAATTACACACAGATTTACACCAAGGTATTTTTGAGCTTTAGCGTGTTCAGTTTCACCACTGAAATAATATCCCACCTATGTATAATGAACCAGTCCTCAGTACCTCAGATTGATCAGGAAAAACAGCGGCAGAAAAAGAAGGTTCGTAATGATGTTTCATGACTTCAATCACTAAGAAACTTTCCACAGACTGGTTGCTGTGTCCACAGACCACGTTATCACTGAACGGTCAATGCGCTTGAAACACCTCATCTACCTACCTTATCAGAGCATGAGTCATTCCATTTCTGACGCGTAATCCAAATCTTCATTTCAAAACAATAATGAAACTTAAATAACATCTCCACACCTTCCTGTTAAGTTGTAATATTTCGTTGTCTAACAATTTGCGTTTGCCCACTGTCGATGCATGCGCCAACTACTGTACGAGGTAGACACTAGCCCGAAGAGGCAATAAATCAATTGCATGACTTTATATACAAATGCACTGCATCAGTCGCGAGACAATATGTACTTAAGACGCCTAATACTAATTTCATTTCATTTCAGTACTGGCCAACAGCACGCAACGTGCAACGTGCGAGTCCTACACAACGGAACCAAAGCAACAATTAATATAAACAATCAACTAAATAGGACTGAGAAATGAAAAAGTACCCTCAAGGAAGATGGTGTGTTTATTAAAAATATCGGCAGGTTTCCAGTTGTGACGCATCTTGACGAACTAACTCTAGTACACAATTCTAGAATTACTCACGGAAAAAGTGGCAAACTCCTTACTTTTGCTAGTGGCTACGTGAAGTTTAAATTATTTAAAATAAAATGGTAATTACAAAAAAAAAAAAAAAAAAGCTGGGCCGAATAAATCGGTTTGAATACAATCGTTCTTTTTGTATTTTCAAGTTTATTACAGCCTGCCCAAACAGGGCTACTCTAGGTGACCAAGTGGTCCTGAGAAGACGTCACCAGAACATTTGTTGTCATCTCTTTTCTTTAACCAAATGTTCGCTGAAATATGTCATCTGCCTCTTTCAACCAGCCGCACAGATCGCTCCCTATTGGTTAGCGTCCTGCTCCTCTGTTCATCCAATCACGGCTTCACCTCCGACACACTGTCTAATGCGAGAGCTATGTAGAGGTGCCACAAACCCTCACGAGGTTCGTTATAAAATCCTAAATATTCGTCACGGCATAATTCCGAATGCTGAAGACACGTATTAAACTCCAGCCGTGGAAACCTAAGGACTAGAATTATGGGATTTATTTAATAATAATAGGGGGAAAACATAATGGCAATGGTTTCATTTTCAGACATTCAGACCAATTACCACATCACTACAATCAATTTTTCACGTCGAGATAAAACATACAGAAACATATGCACATATGCATCAAACGACATACAACATTTACCCCATTACATAAATACTATATACACATGACCACATATAACCTCATCCTCAATTGTAAATGATTTTAATGCTTTAATACCAGAATACAGTACATATCTCGATGTAAAAATGGATCCATTTCATTGAAATTCATTTTAACATTAACTGGAAATTCAATGACTCCGTAATTACTTCTTTATTTCGAACCACTTAATGATCTACTACGTTCGAATCGCGTAGTGTTATAAATATGAACATAATAAATTAATCCTGACACTACTGTCTGTTCTGTTTTATTGTTAAGTCACTGTTGTGTAGACAGCCCCTACATACAGTAATAATAATTATTCAGATGACTGAAAAAGGAAGAAAGAACACAACAAAGGAAATAACGTACAAAAAAGACGAACACAAAATAGAAAAATAAAAATGTAACTTACTCCATGCGCTAACGCGACATGCTTATTCAGACTCCCGTAACCTCTGCCTGAAGCCATTGTTGGTGGCGATAAGATACTACACATAAACACAAAACAAAGGCAAGATTTAGAACAGAATGAATTACGTACACTGTAGCCAGATCCAAGCACGATACAAGAAAGTACAACAGAAACATAACTCACAGATTAAAGAAATAATTTTACTCTGCATTCACATTCATAAAATGAAAAGCAACACTGACAAAGTAAAAGGGTTCAAGGTTTCAAAATTTATAACGATTGCAAAAATATTCAGCTTTAACCATTCGTTTTAATCTTAGAAATCTTGCCGAGCGCCGAAACTCTTTGCTGTACCATAACAAAAAGGAATACTATTCATAACATAATTAGGGTAAAGCGAAATAAATTAAGTTACAGTAATGAACACGAGCACGAAGTGAAAGCCGCCCTCCTGTTAGGTAATATATGATTAATCTTATCTGTATCGACAAACAAGACCTTATCACCTAGGCTTCAATCCTGGGTGACTTTACTAAGATTCGTGGTGGATGAAGTGGCAATGAAGTAGGTTATTCACAGAGTGTCTTCCGTTTCCCCATGCTAATCGTCACTTCAGTACTGCCCCATACTCATCTATCACCTACTGAGACATGCGATAGCCTTAACTCGATCCATAAATTTGGGTCTTCACAAGTGGATGAGGAGTAAGGTGTTGGTTTAACTTATTCGTTGTAATGATAACATTCTATATACCCACATTTCAGAAGTACCCTATTCGAATCTCGACTGGCTCACTGGATACCCTGATTGAATAGTTTGTGTTTAGCCTTGGTCTCTCCAGAAATGTGTAGGATCCTTTGAAATAAAATATGACCGTTTCCTTCCACATCTTTATCCTTGACGGAAAGAACTAACAATACCAATTAGACAAAAAAATGAAAATGCTTCAGACATGGTAGCGAAAGCGGGAATCGAAACCAGGACGTTCAGCTACTGAGGTATCCTGTATCTGAGTTAAACGCTGACTGTGAACCGTCATGTTGCTGGATATTTCTTAAAGCGGACATTTTTCACGGACTCTACACCATTTAAGAAAAGATACAAAACTCGAAAGTGCTGAAGTTAGCAACAAATGACAGAAATGTTATTCTTCCGATCGTTTCTGATCCACGAAACATTCCGATGTACGAATAACATTCTAGTAACCAAAAATCGTTGCTGAATGATAAACATCCCCACTTCTTAATCGGAAGGTCCTGGATCTGATTCTTCTTTCAGAGACCGTTTAATATGACCGAGGTTTCTCATGATATTCCTCAGTCCCTCCAAGGTATCTCAAAATTGAGCACGACCTTACAGCTCAACATTCTGTCCACATCGTCCACTTCCGTCCTCCGATTTATCGAAACATAACCTCAAAATTGAGCACGACCTTACAGCTCAACATTCTATCCACATTGTTCACTCCCGTCCTCCGATTCATCGAAACATAACCTCAAAACCGAGCACGACCTTACAGCTCAACATTCTGTCCACATCGTCCCCTCCCTTCCTCCGATTCAATGAAACATAACCTCAAAATTGAGCACGACTTTACAGCTCAACATTCTGTCCACATCGTCCACTTCCGTCCTCCGATTCATCGAAACATAACCTCCAAATTGAGCACGACTGTACAGCTCAACATTCTGCCCACATCGTCCATTCCCGTCCTCCGATTCATCGAAACATAACCTCAAAATTGAGCACGACCTTACAGCTCAACATTCTATCCACATTGTTCACTCCCGTCCTCCGATTCATCGAAACATAACCTCAAAATTGAGCACGACCTTACAGCTCAACATTCTCTCCACATCGTCCACTCCCTCCGATTCAAGAAACATAACCAGCTGGGGCTGAAAAAGCGTCCTTCCATAGAATATTCCATTCAATGCGGTCGGCTTTCCACTCCTCAAAGCAGACAAATCCTGGATATATATCAACATCAAGAAATCAGTGTAAGATTCACATTGTATCTGTGTACTTATCACGCAACCGTACTGCATATTCACTTGATTCACATTCTACTCGCCCCTATGACACATACTAATTAATTTCGGAAATAAATTCCTACACATTACATGACTATGTTACGTCGCGCCCTCAAGAAAACGCGTAATTTTATAATAAATAGCCCTACTGGACAATACACAAATCCCACTGAATCCAACTTCATTTGTTCACCATTGTATGTAGTCCGACAATAAAGTTCGCAAACTCGCCACGGTGTGCTTGCCGTGGCAGCAGTGGACAGAAACCTGAGTATGGTTTGGTGACCTTGGCATATCAGCATTTCACAGCTGTGTTGTTGTTGATCTATGGCAGTCTCTCTCTAAGTGGCATTTATTATTGTCTGAGTGTATCTCTGTGTGTGCCGTCGCGAGACTGTTGGAGCTTCTTGTTTAACTTAGCACATCACTACATCGCTAGTTTAAAACTATTTCAGAACTTGAGTTGAATTTATTTAACAACGCTGTACCATGGAGATATATAACATAATTAATGAATATGGAGCAGTTGGTGGGACGTGAACTGACAGAGGATATCCTCTGAAAGTGCCTCTTTGTCTGCCAAAATTCCACATGACTAGATCTGGGATCCAAACCGGACCACCGCGATGGGAAAATGGAGACTAACCGCCTGAAGTACGACACTACCACAACAATCTAATCAAAGAGTCAATATAAACGGAGTGTGGCATATAAAACTATGGAAAATTTCACTCGGAAGCTTGGAATCCAAAATTACAACAAAACAGAGCAGAATTTCGAGTTTGAAATATTTGTAATATCCTTAATATTTAGCATACCTGAAGCCCAAACGTGAGGATAATAATGATAATGATAATACTATTATTAATAATAATAACAATAGTGAATGTTTGAAATAAAAATAATGAACGTTGCATTCAACAGCTCAAGCAACAGAAAATTTCATTCAGACTTCAGCAGAATTTTAAGTTCGAAATATTTAAAACACGCTTAACGTTTAACATACCTTAATTCCAAATATAAGAAACCGAACGTAACATAAGTCACACACTAATACAACAGAATAAGCATTCACAGACGTAAGTTTAATGTGCGTGAAGATTACTGAACAAATCACACTGCGTATTTCCTATTAGCCTAATATATAAACAGAAAATGTGAAATATAGAAGGGGAAATTTCCCCTTCTACTATTTCACTGACTTATCTGTTCTGCAGTTGGCCAGCAGTACAAATGTGCGTTCGTTGATCAACGTGTGAGACAGTAGGGTCATGGTACAGTACCCAGCAGAGGTCATATCTCGACACACTGACTATGTAATAAGTTCGTGATAACAGAATATGCAAATAATAACATACCCCTCATTTTTTAACACATTCACGTGATGTGCAAATGACCAAAAGGAAAATCAAGGCCGAGTAAAATATTTCAAGTAAAGCTAATATTTCTTCTTTTTTCGACGTCAAAACAGTTCTTGTTTTAAAATTCTCTGTGTTCCATTATGGAATACGCCCTTTGCAAACTTCTATTGCATATAGGTCACTCTAGTTAAATCAACTAGGAATATTTCTCGGTAAATCACCATAGTCACTGGTAAACCGCCCTTTATCATCCATTACCTTCATTAGGAGATTCTACCACAATGCATCCGTTTCGCTTCTTTGGCATTCGCAACAATATTTTTTTTTACACAGCAAGGTCGTCAGCCTTGCATCCCACCCCCAACCTGGAGGACCACGTCCCTGTATTTGTCCCCACAGCGACAGGGTACCCAGGTTATAACCGTCACCGGATTCCGTTTTCCGTCTCCTACGACTCGCAGGGCTACGGTGGAGGCTTTACAACCCGCCTCCACACGGGAAATCTCGGTATATACAGGCGGAAAATTTAACAAAATTTGGACTTTCCTGCACCTGGTTTTGTTGGCTAGGTTTGTAGCATAAACTTCTACCTCCTTTTCTATCATAGTTCCACGCAGGTGGGTGCTTTATTACAATTTTTAATGCATATTGTCTTGTTACGTGCTTCCGAATTTGCCTGAGCTCAGGTAATTAAATAAATGTAGTGAATCTGATTGTGATTATCCAAAAATTGAGGTTAACCTTTCTAAAGGACCCAGAGTGGATGTCTTCCATCCCCCCCCCCCACTCATCACACGAGAACGAAAACAGATCCAGTTCATGAAAAATTGTTTTCTAGTTTCTAGAATACCGGACGAAGTACAAAGTACAAAAAAACCAGTAATTCTGAAAATTTTAGGCCCATTTATCCTCGTAAATAAATTGTAACTGTCGATGTTCAATGCGGGCAGTTATGACCTCTCTTAGATTTTAGTATCGTTATAAGTAACTAACTAGTTACATCCCCCATACTGATAAAGATATCCCCGGCATTTATGGAATAAGTTCATTGCTACGTTCATGAAAGACAGCTCTGATTCCTCAGGGCAAAGTGATCCGGGAGTGAAGCTGACCACTCCCGTCCATCTGCTGTTGAGGCTAAGAATGTATGTGACCTATACATCCACTGCTTCGTGCTTCATGGCGTCGTGCTAAAGTAGGGGCAGATTTACTTTTACGTATCTTGAAATGCTGACAGTTTTTTTTTATTATGGCTAGTGGGGTGGGACTAAGTTCCTTGTACTGCGGCCACTTCTGGCCTATTGTACCAGCCCCAGATGATAGGTGAGGGTGATTGTGGAGCAATTGGTGGAATGAAGTTTGGCAGGGGAAACCGAAGTACTCGGAGAAAACCTGCCCCAGCGCCACTTTGTCCACCACAAATCCCACTTGACCAGACCCGGGATAGAACCCGGGCCGCCGCGGTGGGAAGCCAGCGACTAACCGCTTGAGCTATGGCGCGGCCTAATGCTGACAGTTAATAGAAAACAAACGTTAAAACTATCTAACCTCAATAATTTAGAAATTTCTCAGCAGCAGCTATATTTATATTGAAATGCTAAACTTAAGAGAATAGCAACTGTACAGTAACAGGTGCTCCAATTTGGAGGAAATGTTTTCGGTAATGTTCGCCCATAGAAACA